GAGAGAGAGAGAGAGAGAGAGAGAGAGAGAGAGAGAGAGAGAGAGAGAGAGAGAGAGAAGGGGGGGGACTCTGCCAAGCTGTCCATTATGTGACTCTGACACATACTACGTTTCTTCTTTGCCTTTTGCCCTCCAGGAACGCCCGGTATTATGGCTCCCATGTCAATGCTACTCTCGACAAGTCCCCCACGCGAAGAGCAACTGGCAAGCAGATTGAATGCTGATTGAATGCTGATTGTTTCATTCATACAATGCAAAACCTGCTTCTTAACATCAGTGGCTGGCACTCCTATGGTTGGAGGCGGACTTCCATCAGCTTCCCCGGGCCAATCATCATTGACATCATCGGCGAGCCCACCAACCTGAGACTTACACACACGGTCATGCACTTGCACACATAGAGTCAAAACTCCACAAGTAAGCACGGGGCATACATGCAAGATCGCCTGATCACAAGGGCATACATGCAAGATGGGTTGATCACAAACATATTCGGGGAACACAGCAAATAAAGGTCTGAATCTGAATCGGAATCTGTACCAAAAACATCAACGGGAGAACGGACAGGATTTTCTCAGAAAACGTTAACAGAGTTCTTGCGCAGCACCAAAAAAAAAACGATGCTGCAAAGATAACGGCTTCCCAAGCAAAACACTCACAGATAAAGAAAAAAAAAAAAGAAGGTTCGGCGGTGGAATAAAGAAGAAAAAAAAGAACGTTCGGCGGTGGTATTCCCTCCTGTTTTCTTGCACGCGGATTTCTGTCTGCTCTCAGGCTCTTCTTGTTCTTATTGTGAAGGGGGATTTCTGCCCACGCATATGAGAGGGCAGTTCCTTATGCTGTTTCTTTCTTTTGTGTTTTTTTTTTCCTTTTCTGTTTTTGCGGCTGAAGCCGCAACGGGTCATCTAGCGACCATGTAGTATGTACGGCTTTGAGCATTCAGCTATGGAGTTTGTACGGCTTTGCGCATTTGGCTATGGAGTTTGTACGGCTTTGCGCATTTGGCTATGGAGTTTGTACGGCTTTGAGCATTCCCTCTCTCTCTCTCTCTCTCTCTCTCTCCTCTTTCTCTTTCTCTTCTCCCCTTGTCGCCCGTTCCCCTATCGTCCATGTCTCTTCCCTGCATTTCGGCAGTCTTGTTCTCTCTTCTTGGTTGTGTGAGTGATGAGGTACAAGCGTGATCAGAACGAATAAGATCTCTCTCTCTCTCTCTCTTTCTCTCCGCCTCTTTTCTCCCCCTGTTGCCCCTTGCCCTCTCGCCCATGTCTCACCTTATCCTTTCGCTGTATTGAACAGCTTGTTCTCTCTTCCTGGTTGTGTGAGTGATGAGGTAGGAGCATGGAAAGGAGAGGGAGGTGGGAGAAGAAGAGAGGGGGGGGAAGGGAGGGGGTGGGGGGTGGGGGGTTGGGGGAGCAACATTCTTTGGCCTTTGGGGGAAATAAATGCTTGTTCAGGCAATCATGTTTTGGACCTAAGAGTCATGCTCTGGGGATAAATATCATTCTTTGGACTTCGTTAAAATTTAGCAAGGAGCTACCGTCATCACCCGAATAGAACGTCCCATTGTCATAATCGCTGTATCTAGACTGAAAGTTGCCCCAAATGCGGCTATAATGACCGGGCGTTCTATTCGGGGGAAGATGGTAACTGTGCATAGCGACTGCTGTTTCCTGATCAGCTGGTCTAACTTAATGTACGCTTCCAAAGTGTAGTTTGTCCTGCGATCGGAGGCGGTAGGTACCTCTGGCTTGTCTGTTCCGTTTATTCCTTTTGCGGTCGTGGATGTTCTTCGGTAGATGCATGCAGGACCTTGTGCAGAGGGTGTTCAGGTCTACGTAATATAAATATATGTGCCTGACGTAGAATTGGCGATCTCCACCACTTGCAGTTGAAGCACTTCGGCGTTTCTTTTTTTCTGTATTTATTTAGCATGACTTGGCACTCAAGGGTGCATGCTTCCAGTGAATTGCTTGGGGGATAGTGCAGCTTAGTTCTGCTAGCTTGCAAGGAGAGCGCACATTGGAATTGGAGGCAAGAAGTAGGGGAGACTTCTTGGTGTGTGGCTACAAGGGTCTGCGATCCTCGTGGGGCTGCTCAGGTCCTTTAGAGGAAGGCAGGGCGGGGTGGGGGTAGGGGGGGTTAGGGGTGTTTAAGTTTGTGGCGTGGAAAACAGTGTAGGTGAAATGGCAGTAAGCGTACAAGTGTATAGAGGGCTATAGGAGAAGAGGATTGTCTCAGATGCCACGCCTTTGTAGAGCTGCGACGATGAATGGCAATACGGTTGTCGAACCTGGGAATGTGATGGCGTCGGAGGCAGCAAATCTTGCCGTTCTGCGCACTCTCTTGACGGATAACACTCTTCCGGACGAGGACAAGCTTCTTCAATGGCTGCTTTCTACGCAGAGATCTCATGAATGTCTTGATCTGAAATCAGCGAAGGAAGAAGATAGCCGAAGCAGTGAATTTCTGCAGCAAGATGACGAGTGTACGAGTTCTGGCATTGTGCGGCGGAGCAAGGCTGTCGATGAACTTCCTCCTCCGTGGAAGGACATCTGTTTGGCGGCTACTCCGGAAGGCTTTGTGGAAACCTTTCTGTCATTTTTTCACAAAGAAAGCATGCCGTATCTTGAATTGCAAGAAGGCAATCAAGCTGTGACACCTCCGCAGACGCCTGAGACAGCCGGTCGTCGCAGAGGTCTTGATCTCTCATCATTGTCTGGCCAGGAAGGTCCCAGTCCAGTTAAGCAAATGGAGATAGGACGAGGAGCCGGAAGAGGGGGCAATGACTTAAGAGGGGGCAATGACATGAGAGAGCAAGACTGCAGTAACTGGAAGCCTGGAGTTTACTCTCAACATCTGGTAGGACGGGTGGCGAATGTGGGCCAGGGTAATAATAAGAGGGACCGGAGCGAACTGCAAGGGGGAGGAGGAAGTAGGAGAGGCTATGGGGTTGATGAGGGTGAGAGGGTGCGAGGGCCGCTCCGTGTCCTCGGTGAAAAAGAAGTCAATGGAAGACGAACGGATGGGGGACGGAGGAATAGTGGTGTTGGTCTAGATACTAAAGCAGGAAGAGCTGTCGGCTCGGCTGCGCGCTTTGCGCCGGTACCTTTGCTGTCGGATGAAGACGAGTTTCCGGCTCTCGGATCGAACTCCCCTTCGCCAGCAAAACCGGTTAAGAATTCTCCGAAACAGGTACTGCAGAAACGGATCGCACCAACCCCAACACGTGGACCTCTTGTCGGTAGCGCGTTTGTCATTTCGAAAACGGAATCCTCTCTGAGGCTGGAGATGGGAAACGTTGAGCAGTCGAAGCACGCTGCTCGGTCGGATCATAATCAGTCTGATGCTTTTGTGAAGGTTGATGTGGAGGCACTGATGAACAAGCGTATTCACAAGAAACAGCATAAGCGAACTGGACCAGGGCATAAAGAGCTCCCGCTGCCAGTGGAAGGCAGAGAAGAAGCTGGAATGCCATGTGACGCAGGCAAGGAAGACGGGAAGGCCACTGTCTTTAGAGAGGACCGGCAGAATGCAAAACTTGCGGAATCGGGAAAGCGTGCAAACAGTGTCCGCAGAGAGCTGCTGGGATGCTGTGCACTGGAGACAGCTTCCAGCGATGACAACGGTGGCAAAGTGGCTAACGAATTACAATTCAAACTGATCAGGCAAAGCAAGGCGGAGTGTCAGATGAATTCGGAATCGAAACATGCGAAAAATGGACTCCGGCCATCACCGATGAAGGTGATGATGGAGAAGGACCCTACTGCTCCAGGAGTAGGGGCTCAACTGGCCGGTAATGGCAGAGTGGGCAAACAGATGCACACAACACGTTGTTGTGGAGGGAGGGAACCTCCTGCCCTTTCAGCAGCTCTCTCATTTGATTCTGAGATTGAGTCCCGCCTTGCTGAGATTCGGCTAGATGAAGCGGTGTGTCGAAGTGATGAGATCTCAGGCAGAGTGGATCGCAGTGCGGGAGAACAGAACGGGGAAATTTTTGCGAGTCCGGTCCTAAGCGGCAGTCCTGCTCATCATCGTGTGTACTCTGCTGCTCCTGGTGGGACGTTCAGACCCGACGCTGATAGCGAAGAACAGTGCTGTTCCGATCTGATGCGAGATCCTCCACTCTCCAGAAGGCAGTGTGGGATGCCTGAAACAGCTGAGGATGGGAAATATGTTTGCTCTTCTGCTGTCAATGGCCTACTTTCTGCAGTGGCAACAGGACGTGAAAAGCAGCAGCACATTGCAAAACGAGGTATGCAGAGAAGGACAGCCATAGTGCATGGCTTGCTCATTCAGGCGAATCTGGTCCCTTCGGTAACGCTAGAGCTCCATGTCATTGTGCAGCTGCTATCGCTCAAACCAGACTACATGGTTGTCAGTGCCCCTGTTGCAGATTTTGATGGGGAGGGGGGGAAAGAGGAACAGTTTTGGAGCCCAGAGGGTCCAAGGCTTGGCATGTTCGAAAATGGTGACGACTGTGCAGCATATGCGTGTCTTGTTTTGAGGCATTCTGGTCGCGTGCCTCATTGTGTGGGTGAGAAGGTTCTCAGTGCTCTGGTAGAAGAGCCGGCAATTGCGAAGCACAGCCCGGAACTGCTTGCGCAGCTTACGGCATCGCTGGTGCATTACCAGACTTCGGCACTGCGAAGCGCCAAGGGTTATGACACGGCGGACACCTCTGCGAATGCCGTAGCGGCAGCGGAAAGTCCCGCACGGCAACACGGGGGTCGTAACCAAGAGAACCAAAGCAGTCCCAGCCCTGGTACCAAGGGGACTCCTCAAAGAGGATCAGCTGTTCCCATGTCGCGCCCATTCGATGCCGCGAGAGATTCTCGCCTAAACTTTCAGACGCAAGAGGCGCAACAACTGTATAACAATCGTGAGCAGTGTCGGGACATTTTTTATGAGTTGATGAGGGAGGTTGCCGTCGGGAACATGTTCGAAGCATCCTCGGCGTATCGAGGCTGTACAGGACTTGGCATAGGGAGTGGCCGTGGACGAGGGGGTGTCGGGGGTGGTGGTCGTTACGGGGGCGCAGTAGGGAGTGCCAAGAGTGGGGGAGGTCCATCGGGACCGGGGACGATGATGAATGGATGCTTCACTCTGGACGATGGTTACGAGTCCTTCAGTCTGAAGGTTCGACACTTTTTGTCGTGGCTTCGCCCAGAAAACTATGTGTGGTTTGCAGACTTCCTTCTGGAACAGATCATCCAAGTTGCGTCAACCGGGGAGACCGATCCTGAGGTCACAGGCTTAGCTGGAGGCAATCGCGCCAAGCTTCAACGATTGCACCAGCGCCTGACAGCTCGAGGGGGAACAAAGGTCAGCGGAAATTCCTTGGCTCTCAGGTCTAGCTCTTTAAGTGGGTCAAGAAGTCCTCGGCCAGGCAACTTCAGGGATACTGTGACCACTGACAACGCCAGAGGGCATGGAACGGAAGGGCCTTTTATGCTTCACTGGAGATCCGCTGTCAGTGGCAGTCGCAGCAGCCTTGTCTTCGACGAGCCATCAAAGGAAGATGGTACCAATGATGGTGCTAGTCAGTTGAGTGCGCATCTTCACGGTGGTGAAAAGAGAAGTTGTGATGAGGGTGGAGATGCAGTTGTAGGTTTTCGACCAGAGAGTGGTGATCCCTCTCCTGGTGACATCTTCTCTTTCTTGAAGGCTTTCTCTGAGGGTCAACGGATTTACGCGTTGTTTCTTCATGCTGCTGACAGCTACAGGTTGAACATGCACTTGATATGGAGCATTGAATCGAAGATCACGTCCCTCTCACGGTTCTCGCCTCACTCTAGAGATGCGGCAGAGCTTGGCTCTACGTTCGCTGAAAGGGTCCTTGGCCTGAGAGCACTTGCATCTTTCTTAGGCTATTTGGTCTTTTCACCGTTGCCAAGTGCACTGACGTCTGCCGTGCCAGGCCATTCGATGTTCTGTTTTGACGCAGAGGTTGGTGCAAGCCTCGGCAAAGCGTGTGGGGTCCAGTTAGGGCTGGCGACGGGGATCCCCCCTCTGGACTTGCTCAGAGTTCTCCAGGATGCGGCGAAGCAACAGATCTTGACCTTAACGCTACCATGGGTGCTCGAGTTTTTGAAGATGATGAAGGGTAATTGCGCAGGGATGCTACCTCCATACTACCGTCAACTCATCTCGTACTTATGGGGCCTGTATCGGCTACCTGTACTGCAGCCAGTGCACCCCCGATTTGGGGTTGGTCCCTTCTGCATAGCAGCACAGCTGGATGGGTTCTTCAGCTTCATGGGTCTCTCTAGAGATTTGTTTGCCGATGCGATCCCGTGTGACGAGCGCCGTTTGACGCAGAACGAGGATTTACCAAGCAGCGGTGATGAAAAAGCTCATTTGGTGCCCAACGGTGTGGACGATTTGGAAGGGCTGATTGATAGTCGGTACATTCAGAACTGCTGCCCCCTTGTCATGGACTTGCACACGATTCTGACGAGGGCGAAGAAGACGAGGGGTGGCAGCCCTTCACCGAGTCCTCAGCGGAACATCCAGCAAATGCAAAGATTGAGGAAGATCAGACCAGTGAGGCCTCATCAGGTCCTTCCGGCTGCAAGCACGGAGGATCCTGATGGCTCAGTGATTGCCGAATTTGCTGATCTGACCGAGGAAAACCCAATCAAGCTCAAGCTCCAGCGTGCGTTCCTTGAGCAGCATCCTCATTTGCGCCGGCTTGTCGACTTCGCAGTTGACACTGTGGCTGTGAACTCGGCGCTTGCCGCGGCCATGAAGGTTCTCCCCCTAGCCTTAGCTGAAGCTTCGTCAAAGTTGGAAACGGCTATCCTTTCCGCCGTGCACCAGTTTGAGTCACAGTGTATGCAAGAAGAGGATGCGTGTGGTGGAAAAGCCACTCTGAAATTGGAGGCAGCGATTGACGAGGTTATCGAGGAGACCATTGCGAGTTCTATTCCAAAAGCTCTCGAGTATGCGTTGGAGCACTCCAAAGACAGGGCATCAGAAGCTCTTGCGGCTCTTGTATCACCTGATGAAAGTGATCAAAGGGTGGGAGTTGCTGCAGCAATTGCAGGCGAGACGGCAGGGCGAGCAGCTTGTCAGAGGGTTCTTGTGGGGGTGCCACGGGACATCCGTCGCCGAATCACCGAGGAGGCTGAAGTCCAGAAGCGGAAGATATTGCCAACAGTGATGGACAAGTGGCTAGGAACGATGCAGGGGGTCGAAGGTGATGAGCGGCAGGAGGCCAGTGTGTGAACACATGTTAAGTGAGGGAGGGGTGGTAGAGTCTACTGGCAATGAAGAAACATACCCCGGGGGGGCGGGGTCCTGGGCCTTTTGCCCAGCTCCAGAGAGGTGATAATCGCATTGCATGGGCTTTTTCAGTGGCAGTGCCAAAGATGGGAAAACGGGGGGGGNGGGGGGGGAGGAGAAGGGGGAAGGAAGAGCAGTGCAACGGACCATCATGGCGCAGGCAAGGATGCAGAAAGGTTGAAGATGGAAGAGTAGATTGCGAAACAGACGGCAGCAAGGATGAGGATTGGCAGTGTGGTGGGCAATGGGATATGGGAGGAGTGGAAACAAGATGGATGCAATCAAGAGTTGCAAGATCTTGTTTCTGAACTTCATCGTTTGCGGGATGTCTCTGTAAATAAGAGGTTTTTTGAGGTTAGCAAGAATAAGAAAGATTTTGCTATCTAATATCATCTTGTTGTATTCCTTCCTAAATGAGCTGATCAGGCATGCATGGAATGATGGGAACGCAGTGTGCACACAAGAGTTGGACTGTTGCAATGAAGCAAAATGGACAGCCGGGAAGAACGAACACAAGCAAAATAACAAAAAATAAATAAAAAAAGAGGGAGAGGGGTGGGGGGGGAGAGCAAAGGGAGAAGAAAGGGGGGGGGGGCAATCAAAGTAATAAGCACTGGGATGGAGCATCACAAGCGTTGGTATCGATAGGGGGGCACTTGAGTAATGTCAGGTCATATTCGCACATCCCATGTCGATGAATGGTACACACTACCGTCTTCACCCAAATAGAACGCCTGGTGATTACTGCTGTATATGGACTGAAAATTGCACCAAATACAGCTACAATGACCGGGCGTTCTATTCGGGCGAAGACGGTAGTAACTTGGTAAGTGTTAGGAAACGCCTGATGAGTCTGAATCTAGTGAAGGCTGTTTTTTTGGGCGGTGGGCACTCAACTTGTGCCCGGGTACACACCCACACACCTGGGTGCCCAACAAGGCATGAACCCGGGGCAGGGTTCCAGGCAGCCCCAGCGCACCAAAAAAAAAAAGAAGAAAAAAAAAGAATGTTGTCTAGAATTGCAATGCAAACGAGTTTTGGCCGAGGGGCGTGTCCGAAAAAAAAAAACGACAGAATCAGACAAAGGCACCGACCCCCCTTTAAGCCCCGTTAGCCTCTTAAAACCCAATTTATACCCCGCCTTTTGGCCCCTTGACAGCCAGCAAAGGAGCCTGGATTTGGGCTCCTTTGGAGATGCCCAGAACCCCCCCCCTCCACACACACACAAAAAAAAAAAGAATAAAAGAGCTGAGTTTTGTGCAGGTGACCCCCAGCGACTTGCCCGTGCTGCACGGCCAGGCGAGCCAAGTAGAGTAGGTGTTTGCACTTGCACTTTGAATCCCAGAGCGGATTGGTAGTTGCCCATGTCAATTCCAAGACGATGTTCAGCCATTGTCGCTGCCTTACCAAGTCCAGAGTGGACTTAACTGTCTGTGTGCACCTCGGGTCGGGAATGCGGCTGCACCAGTGTTCATAATCATGACTGTGGCTCTACATTCTCTCAGGCCATGGGCCGCTGTTTCTCTCTGCCCTTGTCCTTGTTACATTAGCTGCAGCTCAACATAAATCAGGGACCTCATCGCCGCCGGCAAATCCGGCAGTCCGTATTGGGTGATCCTCCTCAAGGCTGTAATACGAGTCTCCTCCATTCTGCGTAAGATAGTGCGATGTTCCCCAACACGACCTCTCTCAGCTTGTCATGCATTCGCAAGCAGGCACTCCTGGGCATGGAAATCTCGATCTGTCACATCTCGACATTCCATGATCTCTTCCTTTGTGTGCAACCACAATTTATACCACCCCTGTGCACAAAAAGCATCATGTGCTGCATGTAGACATTCTCTCTCTCCTCCATTATGCGTAAGATAGTGGCGCGATGTCCGTTGACAGGACCTCTCTCAGCTTTTCATGCGTTTGCAAGCAGCCACTTCTAGGCACAGAAATCTCGATGTGTCACGTCTCGACGTTTGATGATCTCCTCGCTTGAGTGCAAGGTAGTGTAACACTGCTCGACAGTACCTCTCTCTTCTCGAAGGTCTCCCCGTTTACGTGCAAGACAGTCCCAACCGTCCTCAACAGTACCTCTCTCACCTCCAAGGTGCAGGAACCATCATGTGATATCCCTCCACAAAACAGCTCACTCTCCTCCCCTCCCGCCCACCTCCCCCCCCCTGTATGCAGAAAGCAAAGGTGTTCTGCCCCCTCAACACTCCCACTGCCTCCCGATGCAATTGTGAAGCGTCGGATGACACCTCCAAGCACTCCCCCTCCACCCCTCTCTCTGCATGGTAACACACTTGATAACCACTCGCATGCTTCCATGCATGTAAAGCATCTCATGATCCCCATTAATACCCCCC